AGTTTCTCAGTTAAACGTTTCCAAAACTGTGGATTGGAAGATGAGATCAAGTTCTTTGTTCACTTTGGTCACCAGATGTAACCCCAATAGACTTATTATGAGGTTACGTTAAAGACAATTTATTATACAAGCGTTCAAGATCTTAATGGCCTCAAAAGAATACGCCACGACATATCCACCATTGATGTTGAGATTCTCCAATGCACACGGTTAGAAATTGAACTTCGTCTAGACGTCTTGATCGTAAAAATGAAATGGAGTGTTCTGATGTGTTTTAATAAATCTCTATTTGTTTACCTACGAAGATGTTTTCCAATAAACCCTGTAGAGTTAGAATTCATTATTTCTTACATGATTTTCTTTTAGAGTTGTAAAGATAATTTATTGACACACTGTATAATTGTTTTCTTAATAGAGCCAATGATAACTTGAGTCACATTACCAACAGAGCCTAAGACCTGCAAGACTTCTTATTACATCTTCTACAAATTTTATTACCTTGTTTGTGTGTGTGGATTATTTTCAGTGAGATTCCATAACTTTTAATGAAAGATTCCATAAATTTTAATGAGAGATTCCATAAAATTTAATGAGAAATTCCATAACTTTTAATGTGAGATTCTATAACTTTTAATGAAAGATTTCATAACTTTTAATGTGAGATTCCATAACATTTAATGAGAAATTCTATAGCTTTTAATGTGAGATTCCATAGCTTTTAATGTGAGATTCCATAGCTTTTAATGAGAGATTCTATAACATTTAATGAGAGATTCCATAATTTTAATGAGAGATTCCATAACTTTTAATGTAAGATTCCATAACATTTAATGAGAGATTCCATGACTTTTAATGTGAGATTTCATAACATATAATGAGATATTCCATAACTTTTAATGTAAGATTCCGTAACATTTAATGAGAGATTCCATAACTTTTAATGTGCGATTCCATAACTTTATAAATGTAATTAAATGCAGTAGAGTGCCACGCATCTAAATATTCGAATTTCAAGCGTTGTGCGTCACTCTAATTTCGGCAGACCTCGATTCAGTGAGCAATAATCAATATATTATTCCCGCCGTTGAGGCTTAATCTTGTTTTGATAATCAGGTACTAATCACTGAGATTAGTAACACAAAAACTTTGAAAGAAAGAATGAAAAGAAGAGGGAGAAACAGATTACAATCTGATAGGAAAGTTTGACAAAAACTGAATGGGGTGATGGAAGAGAAGCAAAAGTCATAGTAAGAGGTATTTAAAAATGTTAAAAGATCAGAATCATTTCGTTTATACAGGAATGAGAAAAAAATAAGAAGTAATAAGAGAGAAATAAACAGGAAATGAAAAGAGAAATAAATTATAAATTGACTAAAATTCTGAAAACAGGGAGGCTTATTATTTAAGTTATTAACAGTCGCAGTTATAGGCTCCTATTTGTTTCTACTATCACATTTCAGCCGATGGACTCTCCAGCCATATCCAGTTCTCTTTCGATCCGGGTAATCTTCAGGCAATTTCAAACTGACCCTTTTTATTTAATTTACAGAGATAGATTGTTACAAGCGCGGATCAACTTTTTGAAAGTCAAATTTCTGTTAAGTTTCCTTTACATTATTTACATTATTCGGACTATTGTCCTCATCTTTATCGCCATATTTATCACAACGTTTCGGCCGTTCTACGCTCCGGCCTTCTTCAGGTGGTTGGAAGTTCGAACTGAACCCTTTATTTCGCTTACTGGGGTAGACTGTTCTAGTTCCACGTGCCATGTTTAATGGATGTCAGTTATCAGTTATCTGTTAATTTCCCTCTGAAAGTTCTCCACTGCCTTAACCGGGTATTGAACTCACACTCTTTGGGTTCTGTCACTGGATCTAACTAACGCCTTTATCTACTATGCTATGTGTTCAGTTCGACATTCCAACCACCTGAAGAAGGCCGGAGCGTTGTTCTGCTGTATATTCTTAACAAAATTCAAAAGACAACAAATTTGCAAAAGATTCTTGACAGAATTCAATGAAGGGTCTGCAATGTTATCGATCATGACCTGGCATCTCAGTATCTGTCTTTTTTTATAATTTTTTCCCTGATAGTTGTTCTAATAAGCTCTCATCCTTAGCTCCCCGATCGCATGAATTTAGAAGTATTATTAGATTGGCAGTTCTCATTAAAATAGTTAGAAACAACCGTAAGTTCTATTTTGATAGTTACTTCTCTCACACTTCTCGCCTGTGCAATACTCTTTCTGCATCTTTAAATGCTATATCGATCGCGACTATTTACGTAGACACTCTCAGAGTGCGCAATGATACCTACACTGATAGCTATTCTGCAGCGAATGTATGTAAACAGTAATAGCTGCCCGCGACGCGAATGAGTCCTGATTTTCACCGTGGATAACATCAAAAGGGTTGATTTTATCATATTTATCAAGCCAGATTCGAATGGATTATGTATAATTGAACATAAATGTAAGCATTCTGGAAATTTTTAATGCAAACTGAGCGCGGGTATTACACTGCAAATTAACCAGAAATACACTGTCGGATTTTTGGCTATTATAACCAAAGAAACGTGGGAAACTAATATTAAAATTACGAAAAATAAATTGCTTGTGGTTTTACTGTTATTGAAATTTAAAGGTGACTTCACATCAGAAGTATCGTTTTATGTGAAAACGGCGAAGACTAAATAATTCGTGACTAAATAATTCGTAATTAATAACTTGTTCGGAACAGATTGATTGCAACTGTTCAGTTTATGAGACTTGCGCATAAACACTTTTGTAATGAAGTGGATGTCTTTCATAGCAACTTTGAAAGGCTAAAAAAATAATTGAAAAATCAATTTCCGGAAGTTTTTTTTTTTTTTTCTGAGGAGTTAGGAAGATGCACAAAAACTGATGACAAGTTCCAGTTCAAAGAAAATAATGGTACAAATCTTAAGGCCAAAAAGGAATGCG